AAAAAAACAAACAAAAACAAAAAACCTTTACAACCACAGCTAATGTAATTTTTTCCATTGTTCCCAGTCAGCTCCAAACCCATTGTGTGCAAAGCCCATTTTTTCCATGCATCTAAAATGATAGATACAGGCTATGAAATTCTTTATTCTATTTGTAGCAGCTTATGCAGGTGCAGCCAAACACAAAGCTTTAGGACAAATTGTACAAACTTTACAATGTGGGATTTAAATTTAAAATATGAAACATAAAAATCTACACAAAACTGATAAAAATCAAGCACAGATACCAGGATTGAAAGTTATAATCCATGTGTGAAAGGGAGTCTTGTTTCCTTTCAAGTGCTTTATTCTGCTATGGAACAGTCGAAATGAAGATGTAAAGCCTTGTGGTTAGTTTAAATTATACACTCTGTAGATACTATACCAATTTTAAAAGTTACACGTAGACCAACAGATGTCCCTCAGTTCATCTGGATTGGTAAGACACTCCAGCTGGATCGCTGAGAACAAATCAGGCAAATGTGGAAAGAAAATCCACCGGTGCAATTTGTCTGCCAAGTTTACTGATGGGCACACTGCACTCCAGGTCCATGATGGCTGCTGCTTTCTTCATCAGAGCTATCATTATAGGCTTCACGCCTCTGACCACCTCCTGAGCCTCGAGTGCTATCAAATTCCTGAAGCTCTACCTCCTCTGTTTCTCCAATTACGTTAGGAACTTCTGGTCTAGACGGCAGAAGATCTTCTAGTTCCTTCATTAAAACAAACAAAAACCAGGTGGGTTGTAATATTTTCATCAACTTTCCTTTGGATACAATCCAGTGTGTTTCTTTAAGAGTTAAAAAAGGGGCCGGGCGCTGTGGCTCATGCCTGTAATCCTAACACTTTGGGAGGCTGGGGCGGGTGGATCACCTGAGGTCGGAGTTCAAGACCAGCCTGGACAACATAAACCTTGTCTCTACTAAAAATACAAAAAATTAGCCGGGCATGGTGGTGAGTGCCTGTAATCCCAGCTACTTGGACAGCTGAGGCAGGAGTATTGCTTGAACCCAGGAGGTGGAGGTTGTAGTGAGCCAAGATTATATCACTGCACTCCAGCCTGGGTGGCAGAGCGAGACTCCATTGCAAAAAAAAAAAAAAAA